GTGTGTATGTGTGTGTGTTGGGGTGGATGGGGTGTTGATATTGCATAAAAAATTCAACTCATATGAATCAAATGTTCCCACTGCAATAGTGGTCCTTCCCTTCATGCACAGTGGTACAGAACAATTTCAGAGATGTGATGTTTCCTTGTATTTGCTAAACATACCTACATCAACTGTAATGACGTGACAGGTTTCACTATTCATACAGCACTCTGTTATAAGCACCATTGAAAGGGAAGCCATGGCCATAAAGGAAGCATGGATGTGTTACTATAAAGCAAATTAGTACAATAAGGTCAGCTTTAACACCACTGTACACTGTAAAAATGAAAAGGTTAAGAAAACTCAAATGTTTAAGGCATAAAGCTTCTAATAAAATAACGTTGGAGTAATTGAGAATTGTCACTAGATTGAATTTTCATAAAGGTAAGTAACCAAATCTAAACCTGTTTTATCCCCTCGAAATTTGCAGTTTTACCTTAAAGGAATTCACGCCTTCATTTTCTCCCGTCTAGATTACTATAATTCCCCTTACACCTGCCTCAGTCAACCTTCCTTAAATCATTTAGAGTTAGTAAAAAATGCAGCCGCCAGACTATTAACCAGAACCAGCCGTCGGGCCCACATTACTCCTGTTCTTGCAACCCTCCATCGGCTTTCTGTAAAATTCAGAATCAAATGTAAGATCACACTGATTACCGGTAGATATAAGGCACTTCATGACCTTGCCCCGAGTTATGTTTTCAGATTTCACCGTTCCTCGTTCCACTCCTCTGTATTTTGCTCTCCAAATCTAGGCCTTTTATCCATTCCCCGCTCTAACTGCAAAACTGAAGGTGACTGTGTCTTTGCTGCTTTAGCCCCGACATTGTGGAATACTCTTCCACAATCACTCAGATCTGCTGAATCCATGGACTGTTTTAAGCAGCTCCTTTAAAACCCACCTCTACAGGCAAGGCTTTTTATAGATCTCCTTTATGTTTGTTTACTTATCTCTGTCATCTCTCTTTAATTTATCTTTTCCATCTTGTTTTATCTTCCATATGTTTGTATTTATATGCTCCCTATGTATGAATGATTGGGAATCGTTATGCATGTACATTTGTATATATGCATATATATACCCATATGTGTTTATATTTTTATTTGTCTTAAGCACTTTGTAACTCTGTGCTAAAAAAAGTGCTGTATAAATAAAGCTTTACTTACTTACCTTCCCTTTCCAAGTGTGAAAACATAGTTATGAATTTTATATTCCATGTCTGCCAATACGTCCTCCTAAATGTTACACACTGGACCTTTAATTTCCAGCAATGTTTATTTTGTTTTTTTGTTCTCAAGTTTGATTCCTGATAAATGATCTGATCAGACTTACAATCAAACTGCACTATTAGCAGCCTCATTCATGGTTTGCAGTGTTTTAATTCTGATCTGAGATCAGACGTCTAATGTCAGACATAACAAGCCTCCAGTCTAACATTGCAACCCAACTGCAATGTATGATGGGAAGTATATTATTATTTTGTTTGGTTTGTTGGCACAACTTAATTTCTTTCTTTAAAGGCCAATAACGTATATTTCTATGTCCTTACAACTTGCGATCATTTTGTTTGCCAAAATATAGTAAGTATATAGAATTATTACAGTTTTTCTGTCCCCCAGCACTGTGTTACTAGTGTTGAACAACCCCGAAACCTTTGATGCTATATAAAGTAGTTTGAACAGTGGACCCAAAACTGCAGTAGTGTGTGCTCATTTGTAACACTTGGGCTGTGTTTTGGCAGCTCTGGCTGAACTTTTCCCATCATCTGTGTTTCTGAGTCTGGCGATCCCTGAAGAGCCATTACACACAACCTCAGCACAACTCCACAACATTGGTCCTGCAGGCCAAGCAACTGATATAGAATGCAGATGACCAATGGCTCATTAAGTCCTAATATATGTAACAGCAATAGTAGCAGACAGAGATAGATGCTGATTTCTTCCACACTTGGCTCAGACTTGCATAACCGCTAACAACTTGTCAGCTCATTTGCCAAAAATGTGCCTCTGCTGCACCTATGGCTAGTAAAATGATTTATCCTCAACCCTGCCCAGTATACTTCCATCAAACGAACTATAGTCTTCATGCCTTTAACACCCTTGTCTGATGATTCACACATGCACTTGACTAAA